CCGGGGCGGGAAGCCTGGGGGACTCCAGGGAGGCAGGCGGCAGACCTGGCAGTGGCAGGAAGCGGACGGCGCCCCGTGAGGCTGGCTCCCGGGACACTGGGGCACTGGGTGGGTGCAGGGAGAGCGGGAGACCCAGGGCCTCAGACTGGTAAACGTTATATCCATCCTGGAGAAGCAGTTCCCGGAAGCTGCAGGCCTCTGGGTCAAAGCGAAGCTGAGGGGACAAGAACAGAGGTCAGAGATGTGGAATTCCACTGGTTGCAGACACAGACCCTGGGGGTCCAGGCCCAGCCTCCTCCCTCAGACCTGGGGTCCAGGCTCAGCCTCCTCCCTCAGACCTGGGGTCCAGGCTCTAACCTCCTCTCTCAGACCTGGTCCAGGCTGCAGACCTCTAACAGACTTATCCTTTCCACCAGGGCCATTCTGCAAGGCTGACTATTCTGTATCCACTTCCCAGAAAGGAACATTCTAACCTAGGAGGAGTCTCAGGTCCCTAAGGCCGGCCAAGCTGTCTAGCTGCTACTCAAGGTCTTGCTCACTCCCCAGGCGGGGGGTGCTGAGGGGGTCAGCAGGATGTGTCCGAGCGATAGTAAGGCGGGAAGCACTTATTTTGCATATGACCAACCTGGTTCCATCCCTAGCACCTCACATAGCATAGGGTCCCTGAATCCTTCCAGGAGTGATCCATGAACACAGAACCAGGGGTAAACCCTGAGCACTGCTGGGTGAGGCCCCCAGACAACTCTACAGCCATTTCCGGGCCTCAGGATCTGTCCCTGAGCTGAGCCCGGTTTCCTCTCCCTGAAAGCACTCCAAGCAGTATCTCCCAGGTCTCACCATGAGCAAGCAGAGGGGGGGGCAGGCTGGGCCCCAGAGGCCAGGCAAGCACTCCCGGAGGGGTGTGCCTAAGCCCCAAACTCACCGATCCATACAGGACCCCATCGGACCTCTGGCACAGGAACCTGGATGTTCTGACCCCGAAGATTTGAATCACCCCCGGCTTCAAGGCTTTGAGCTCCAGAAGACCTGAGGGAAGGGCTGGTCAGGGACTGTGATACCATTTCCAGAGTCCTGTCCCATGACCTCAAACCTAGTACACCCAGCCTACAGGGGGTCAGAACGATAGCACAACCAGAAAGGTGTTTGCCTTCCCCGCAGGAGTCTGGGCTTGATTCCCAGCATCCCATATGGTCCCCCGAGCACCACCAGGAGTAATTCCTGAGTGCAGAGTCAGGAGTAACTCTGGCATCGCACGGTATGACCCAAAAAGAAAAAGAATTCAGAAAAAAAAAGGAAAGAAAGAAAAAAAGAACCAGCCTTCAATCTCAGCCTCCACCCTTAGACCCAGTATCCAGCTCCCCCCACTCCCCCACCAGCCTCCTCTCCCAGACCTGGCTTCCAGATCTCCAGCCTCCTCCTTCAGAACAAGGATCAGCCAGTGAGATCTTCCCTCAGACAGAATCCAGTGCTCCAATTTCCTCCCTCAGGTCTAGGGGTCCAGACCCCCAGCTTCCTCCCTCTGACCCAGGATTCAGTGTCTTAGCCTCCTCCCTCCGACTCAGAATCCCATCTCCCTTAGCGTCTTCCCTCACACTCAGGATCCAGCTTCCCTGCCTCCTCCCTCATTCGGACCCAGCATTTGACCCTCAACCTCCTCCCTCAGACCAGGCCCCTGCCTGCATACTTACATTCTGGGGTCCTGTGGGCCGCACCCTCCACTGTGCCATCGGCCCTGATCTCCAGGTGTGCTCCTGTCCTCTGGGCATCATCGGTGTACAGGAACCTCAGCCGGACTTGGCCCCCAAATTGGAGGAGGGGGCTGGAGTCAGGGAGGGGGTGTGCACGGCAGGCACCCAGCAGCAAACCCAGCAGCATGGGGACCCACAGTCCCAGCTGCTCCCCCCTGGCCTCGTTCCAGACCATGAAGAGCTCTGGCACAGGCAAGAGCTGGGGTGTGTGAGGCGGAGAAGCTCGGGGTCCTTCGGTGAAGCTCAGAGCGTCCTGTCAGGGGGTGCAGATCAGGCACTCCCTAACCCTGGCACCTGACACGTGGCGTCCCAGCTGACAGGTCTCCTGGGATGGATGCGCAGCCTGGGCTTATATCTGTGTGGACCCGCCCAGTCACATTCCCCGTCTGACCTGTGCTATCTGACCCACTTGGCAGGAGCCATGATTCCACCGTGGCCGGGTCAGCCGGACGGGTGATGCAACTGGGGGTCCTGCGCGCCCGGGAATGGACTCCAGACTGCTGCCGGGGATGGGGGATGGGACCTGATTGTCAGGGGTGAGAGGCTGGGAGGCTGGGGGTCTGGATGCCTGGCCTGCGGGGGGGAAGGACTGGGGACCTGAATCCTGGGTCTGAAGGTGGAGCGTGTGGACCCTTGGGTCTGAGGGAGAGGCCGGGACCCCTGGTCGGAGGCAGAGGCTTTGGGGGGTTCAAGAGTCCCCTTCCAGACGGACTGAAAAGATTTTTTTTTTTTTGCCTTTTGAGCCACACCCAGTGGTGCTCAGGGCTTACTCCTGGCTCTGTGCTCAGGAATCGCTCCTGCTAGGCTCAGGGGGATCATATGCCAGGGATCAAACCCAAGAAAGATGTATACAAGGCAAACGCCCTGCCCACTGTACTATCTCTCTAGCCATGGACAAACCATTTCTTTTTTTTTTTTTTTTTTGAGGGCGGGCTTTTTGGATCACACCTGGCGATGCACGGGGGTTACTGCTTGCTTTGCACTCAGGAATTACTACCTGGTGGCGTTCAGGGAATCAAACCCGGGTCAGCCACGTGCAAGTACACCCTACCCGCTGTACTATCTCTCCAGCCATGGACAAATCATTTCTGAATCCTCTCTAAATTCTAGGTTTGGGGAGTCTTGTCACCAATTCCTGTTGTAAGGATCAAAATCCTTGCTTAGCCCAGAAGGCTTGAGCATCCAAGGACTGGGGTTCATATTAGACTCTTCATGGGACCAGAGCTGTTCAGTGGTGACACCTGAGCACTGGGCTTGGAGTAGCACCTGAACAGTTCAGGCTGGGATCTGAAAATCAGAAGTAGGGGCTGGAGTGATAGTACACCGGGAGGGTGATTGCCTTGTATTCTACAGACCCAGGTTTGCCCCATGACACCCCTATGTTTCCCTGCATCTGCCAAGAGTGATCTCTAAGCACAGAGTCAATAGTCATCCCTGAACACTGCCAGATGTGCCTCCTCAAAACAAAAGTTTAGGGACAAACCCCAAGGCTTCCCAGACTCCCTGGGGTGCCTCCTCTGAACCATAGCAGCATCCCCAAGCTCAAGGCTGAGTCAGGTTCTAGAGGGATTAGGAGAGAACAAAGGGTTGGGCCATGCTTTGGCTGGCCCTGGGCACCAGGTCCCAAGCAGGGTGACTCCCGGGTCTGACTGGGTGTGTGAGGAGGAACACTCTAGGGGCCTGGATCCTGGGTCTGAAGGAGGAGGGTCTGGACCCCCAGGTCTGAGGGAGGAGAGCTGAAGGCTGAACTGGGTCTTAGACCAGGAGGAGGAATGGGCTGAACCCCTGGGTCTGAGAGAGAGGGGCTGGTGGCTGGAATAACTTTTTGGGAAAAGGGATGGGAGTTGGGCCACACCTTGTGGTGCTCAGGGATTACTCCTGGTTCAGGCAGGGGACTCCTGCTAGGCAGGGGACTCCTGCTAGGCAGGGAACCACATGCGGAGCCAGACGGAACCAGGATCGTCTGCCTGCAAGTCAATCATTATCTCCACTGTACAATCGCTCTTGTCTCCTACTGGGGAGGGGTAGGGGGGTGGGAGTTGGGGAGAGAGTAGGGAGGCAGCCGGTGGGGGGGAGGCCAGCGAGGGCTGGGGACAAGCTGCAGCAGGTCCCCGGGAAAGTGCAGGAAGGTGCCTGGGAATCAAAGGGAACCGGCGTCAGAACCCTAGAATTCCTCTGTGAGGAGGGGAGAGGGGCAGGTCGGCGACTTTCGGGGTAGGGGCTTGGAACTGGGGTGCACAACCAGAGCCCCCGGCGGGCTGGGGACTCTAGTTTAGGATGGAGGTGGTTCTACCGGCCGCGACCAGCAGGGGGCACTTCTGGGTGGCGAGGGAGGCTGGGGCAGCGGTACCCGCAAACCGGTTTTCACCCGGGCTGAGCTCGGAGCTAGCTGGCACCCGAGATGCAGATGGGGGCTCGGGGGTGTCGGTAAACCGATCCACGAGGTGGGCGCGAACCGGGCATGCCTTCCAGCTTCCGGGTTCAGACGCAGGCTCCCGCCCCGAAATTGAGTCCCAAGAAGGATGCGCCAGCCCCGAAGCCAGCAGGCGGCCCCGGCGGAGTCCCGAAGAGCGAGTTGTTGGCGCGGGGGGCGGGATTGGGGGTGGAGATGGAGCGGGGTTGCCACCCTCGCCCGGGGCGGGGAGGGTGCCGTCGGGTCGGGACCGGCGGAGGTGGGGGCGGCGGGACTCCCTAGGAGCCGCCTCTTACCTTTTCTCCCCTCCCCTAACCCGGGCGGGGCAGGTGGCGGGGCGGACATCCTTCTGGCCGTGCTCCCGTGCGCAGGGCACCTTAGGGCCGCCAACCTCAGGAAGCGCCCGTGAGCGGACTCTCGACCTTCCGGTGGGACTGGGGGATCCAGTCTTTCTGCACCCTCCACCCGGAGGGGTCTTCCTCACCCCCACCACCAACTCTTGCCTCCACTGAGAATCCTGATCCTCTCCCAGCGTGCACTTTGCGCGCCTCTGGGCATTCCTCTCAGGGCACCTCCACTGCACCCGGACACACTGCGGGAGGTAAGGAAAGAGATTCCAGTGGGACAGACACCCGTGCTCTTGGAAACTCTCCAGTTTCCTGGCTCCCAGTTCACCTCCGCAGACCTGGGAGTCAGGGGGTCCTGATTCGCCCCTTTCTCTCAGACCCCCAGCTCCAACCCTCACTTTTCTCCTTCCCTGGGAACCTGGTGCCACTATGCCCTGAGCAGCAGGCCGGGAGCCTGTGCTAATCTCTACCCCCCTCTTCCTTCCCCCAGCCATGTGGGTCACCAGATTCCGGAGCCTGTGTCTAGCCTTTGGACTCCTCTGCCTTTTCACCTTCCTCTTCTTCCTCCAACTGTACCAAGGCTTCTTGAGCCAGGGCCTCCAGCTGCTGGCCCAGTGTCCCAAATGCTCGCGAGTTCCACCGCGCATCAACTGCTCGCACCCCAACTCCTCCGTTGTCAGGGCTCAGCCCCATGCCGCCCTGCCGGGCATCTGGACCATCCTTCCCAGCGGCCGCCTTGGGAACCAAATGGGCCAGTATGCCACCCTGCTGGCCCTGGCCCAGCTGAACGGGCGTCAGGCCTTCATCCTGCCCTCCATGCACAGGGTGCTGGCGCCCATATTCCGCACCAGCCTGCCCGTGCTGGCGCCAGAGGTGGAAAACCAGACCTCGTGGCAGAACCTGTGGCTGCATGACTGGATGTCAGCGGAGTACGAGCACCTGCCGCAGCTGTGGCTCAAGCTGTCGGGCTACCCTTGCTCCTGGACTTTCTTCCACCACCTCCGAGAGCTGATCCGCCAGGAGTTCACCCTGCACGCGCATGTCCGAGACCAGGCGCAGGCCCAGCTGCGGGATCTCCGCCTTGGCCCCGCTGGCCACCGCCCCCGCACTTTTGTGGGAGTCCACGTGCGCCGTGGGGATTACGTGGAGGTGATGCCGAAGATTTGGAAAGGGGTAGTGGGTGACCGTGCCTACCTCCAAAAAGCTCTGGACTGGTTCCGCGCCCGCCACCCCGCGCCCATCTTCGTGGTGGTCAGCAACGACATGGTGTGGTGTCGGGAGAACATCAACGCCTCCCAGGGCGACGTGGTGTTCTCGGGCGACGGGAAGGAGGGGACGCCCAGCCGGGACTTTGCGCTGCTCACGCAGTGTAACCACACCGTCATGACCGTGGGCACTTTCGGTTTCTGGGCTGCTTACCTTGCCGGTGGGGACACAGTCTACCTGGCCAATTTCACTCTCCCCGACTCTCCCTTCCTGAAACTCTTTAAGCCAGAGGCAGCCTTCCTGCCTCAGTGGGTGGGAATCCCCGCTGACCTGAGCCCGCTCCATTAGGGGTATTTTCCACCTTTGAAGGTTGGTTTCTCCCCACCAAGGTCCCTCGGATGGAAGGAACTGTGGGTGATTTTGAGGTAGTATGCCCTGAAGCCCTGTGTGTGTTTCTGGAGTGAGTCTAGGATGTGGGGGAGGGATGCTGGCTTTAAAGTGGGCCAATTCTGTGCTGGGGTTCAATGATAACTGGGGTTCTGGCTCTGGGTTCAATGATAACTCTTTGGAGGGCTCAAGCTTCCATCCCTGTCTTTCCTGGAATGGCATATCATTTCAGTAAAGAACTTAATGAACTTGTGGATCTAATTAGCTCATTGCTTTGCCCCTATCAGAAAGATTCAGGGGAAAAGTGACAAGACAAACACTCAAAGGGCAGAACAGGAAGAACAGGAAGCAGAGGGGTTAAGGTGGATGCTTTTTTTTTTAATTTGCTTTTTGGATTGCAGCCGGCTATGTACAGGGGTTATTCCTGGCTCTGCACTCAAAAATTACTCCTGGCAGTGCTCAGGGGACCATATGGGATGCTGGGAATTGAACCCGGGTCAGCCGTATGTAAGGCAAATGCCCTACCCACTGTGCTATCGCTCCAACCCCAAGGCATTTGTTTTTTCATGTGCCTGACCCCAGTTTGATCCCCCAGCACCCCACAGGGTCCCTCAAGCACCTTTAGGAGTGATCTCCAAGCAAAGAGCCAGGAATAAGCTCTGAGCATCACCTAGTACCCAAACCCTAAAACAAAACAAAACCTTTGTGTGTGGGTGCAGTTTGTAAGCAGAGCAGAATACTACCAAGTCCTCAGTCCCTGGGAAGGAAAAGGACAGGTATGAGTGCACATATATACATGCACATACACATATGCATGCACACACTTGTGCATGCACGTACACACTCATATACAAGCACACACATGAACACACGTGCATTCATATACACATATATATATATATGTTTTGGGGCCCCAGCCAGCAGTGCTTGCTCAGAGCTTACTCCTGGTTCTGTGCTCAGGGATATGGTGCCAGAGATTGAGTTGTGGTCAGCTATGTGAAAGGCAAGCACATTACCCCCTATACTATCTCTCTAGTCGTCTGGAAGAAATCTTTCCAGAAATCCAGGGATACTTTTTGTTTGTTTTGTTTTGGGGCCACACCTGGCTCTGTATTCAGGACCACTCCTAGTGGTGGTGGGAGGTGGTGGTGCCAGGATTGAAACGAGGTGGGCCACATGCAAGGCAAAAGCTCTATCCACTGTGCTATTGCTCCGGTCCCAGGAAATTTACTTTCTACTAGTCAGCTCCAGAACTCCCCAAAGCCACAGGTTTTGTGCCTTTTGGACAGAATTGTCTGACTTAGGGCAAGGAGGCAGGAAAGGGAATTAAAGCATGCAGCTATCCCACCCCCAGGATAGCTGCATGCTTTCCAAACCAGGCCTGAGCAAGCAAGCTGAGGGTCTTTCCGATCCAGGAGAAAGGGATTCTTGGCCCTGATTTTCACAATTCCTGGGTTGAAGCATGGAAGTGGCTGCCTTTATTCCAGTCAGCCCTGATTACCTTCAAAGAATCAAAATTCCTTTTCTAGGCTTCTTAAAGAGTCTCGGGTCTGTTCTTTTTGCAACTCCCAGAGTTGGGAGGAATTAAATGTGCACATCATCAACCAGCCATCATCAACCATCAGAGTAATGTGCTTGTATGTGAGAGGAGGAAGAATGTGAAGAAATTCCATTATTCTATTATTCAAGTCTTGCAGTATTATCATTCTCAGCTCTGGAAGCTTCATTTTATTTGGGGGGGGGACACACCTGGCAGTGTTCAGAGTTTATTCCTGGCTCTGGGTTCAATGATAACTCTTTGGAGGGCTCAAGGGATCATATGTGGTTCTGGGAATTGAAATTGGGTTGTGCATTTGCAAAGCAAGAGCCTTACCTGTCTGGCCCTCTGATAGCTTCTTGCTAGGCTGATTTATTTATTTTATTTATTTATTGTTTTTTTATGGTAAATTCATCATATTTTATTTTATATTTTTAAAATATTTTTATTACTGAAACACCATGATGTACAGTTGTAGACTTACAAATTTTTGTGCTTGGGTTTCAATTATACAATGATCAAGTACCCACCCCTTCACCAGTACCCATTTTCCACCACTGGTCCCAGTATCCCTCCTCCCATCCCCCCCATCTCACCCTGCCTCTGTAGCAGGGCATTCCCTTTTGTTCTCTCTCTCCTTTTGGGTTCTGTGGTTTGCAAAAGAGGCATTGAATGGCAATAATGTTCGGTCTATAGTCTACTTTCAATATGCATTTACATCCTGGGAGGATCCTCCCAACACCCTTTATTTGGTGCTCCCTTCTCTATCTGAGCTGCCTTTTCCCCTAGCATGTGCGGCTGGCCTCAAAGTCATGGAATGAACCTCCTGGTACTTATCTTGGCTATTCTTGGGTGTTAGTCTCCTATTTTATTACTTTATGTTCCCCAGATGAATGCAATCTTTCTATGTCTGTCCCTCTCTGACTCATTTCGCTTAGCATGATACTTTCCATGTAGTACCACTGGTATGTGGAACTACATGACTTCATCATTTCTAACAGCTACATAGTACTCCATTGTGTAGCTGTACCAAAGTTTTTTTAACCAGTCATCTGTTCTCGGGGCTGGGCTGATTTATAGTTCTTGATTTTTGTAAAAAATGACTTGTTTCAGGGCTGGAGCGATAGCACAACAGGTAGGACATTTGCCTTGCACATGCCATATGGTCTTGCGAGCACTGCCAGGAGTAATTCCTGAGTGCAGAGCCAGGAGTAACCCCTGTGCATTGCGAGGTGTGACCCAAAAAGAAAAAAAAAAGACTTGTTTTAATCATGCAGAAAAGATCAGGAGAGAGATCTTACTGGGATTAAGGCTCTAAATCCAAATTCCTTTTCCCAGGGCCCCCAGGGCCCCCAGTATTCTCTCTCTCTCTCTCTCTCTCTCTCTCTCTCTCTCTCTCTCTCTCTCTCTCTCTCCTCCCCTGTTCCCGGTAGAATCTTGGAATTCAGCCCCATAAACACAGAAGGTGGAAAGGTGGAAGAAAAAGTGCAGAGTAAACTTAAATGTTGGGGTTGGGGATATCTCAGCAGCTACTAAAGGAATGCCTTGTAAATTGGAGATTCTGAGTTCTTTTCCTAGCACCACCATGTGTGCTGAGTTGGGGTCTGGGGTAGGGCGGGGAGTCCCCGCAAGCACTGAGCCCAGATTATGAGCACAGCAACCAGATAAACCATCCTCAATGTTGCAACATCAACGAAAGGGAGGGAAGGGGTAGAATACTTTTGAACTACATTTCCCATAAAGCTATGGGGTTGGTCACTGTAATCTGGCCTGATTGTTTTAGGACGAGACCCCAGAGCCTTCAGGAAAACGTGGTTTTAGGAAGACCCTTGACTCCAATCCCCCAGACTGTAGGTATCTAGCCAGGAGCCGGGGTTCCCGGGCTCTTGGCTAGATACCTACAGGGGATCTAGGGGGGAAGTTGAGGGTCAAAAAACTAGTTTCTTGCTCTGAAAATCAGAGAAAACAAAGGACATCCCATTGGATGATAGTAAAGTTCCAGTCGGAAAAGGCACACGCCTCTGTGACGTCAGGGAGGAGGGCGGGACCACTCTTTGTTTAAGTCCAATCAGACTCAGAGCTGGGCTTTTGGGCGGGGTTAAGAAAACCTAGAGGTTATCTTTTGGGAATACGGGTGCCTCACATGGGAAATTGGGATGGAGGTCGTGGGAGTGCCTTTGTAGAAAAAGGCGATCTGTGACTCTGACCGCAGTCAGAAATTCTCGAAAGCTCGCCACTAACCTCGCCCTCGCTGCAACAAACCCCTAACTGTAGTCGTGGGCCGTGGAAGAAGGACGCGCCGCGGGCCAGACTTCGCAGGTTCTGAGACGCGGGATTCGGCTCTTCAGCGACCCCTAGTGTTGGAGTCGGGAATCAAGGTCCTGTAATCGCAACTGGGCGCGTGCGCTAGGACTTCCTAACAAGAAGGGGTGCGCCCTGAAAGTCGGGGTCGTCTGGTTTGGGGGAAGGTTTGTCCTCTCTCCGTTGAGTCTTCACGTCCTCTCGGATTACGGGGAGAGGACGGACGTCCTCAAGTCTTCTCGGACGGCGCGCGCTGGCCATAATGGCACCGCGGCTGCCCCTCCTGGTCGCAGTCCTGGCCATCTGCCTGCTTCCTGCCAGGGGCTGTGTCTTATGTGATCCAAAGGTGAAGAAAGAGCTGGACAATTTAAGGACAGCTTACCTGCCTGATCACCTGGACCAGCAGCATCACGAAAGCTTTATGTTAAGGGTAAAGCAGGCTGTGAAGGAATTCAACGATCTGGAGATTGACGAGAATTCCTTTATGGGGGTCATTGGTGAGGGCAGCGCCAACTCCTGGGCCCGGGGATTTCGGGAGGATATTGAGTGCAGGGAAGACACTACTAGAGGTCTCCTGGATCCTACAGTAGAGAAAATTGGGGTGCATATTCAGGGGTTTTCCATGTTCCCCTATTCCTTAGTAATTTTATCTTCTTTGTTTTCTTTGGGGGGGTGGCATACCCAGCGGTGATAGGGCTATTTCTGTCTGTGGCCTTAGTAATTACTCATGGTGCCCTCAAACCCGGGTCGGCCAGGTGCATGGCGAACACCCTACCACTCTGGTCACAGCTCATAATTTTAATGCGATAAAACTACAACTCCCAGAAGGCAACAAGCAGGAAATCCCTTAACCAGACCTAGCCTTGCCCAGTGGCCCAATGGGTATTGTAGTTTCTAAGACTAGGCGAGCCGATGAAGCAGGTACACTGGAATCTGGGTTTCCATCTCCCTCTACAGACCAGCATACACTGGAAAAGGTGTCCTGGAGTTTGATCAAGGATATTAAACGCATGACGGAAAGTGCAGTAAAAGGTACAAATGCACGAAGGAGTCCAGGATCCCCCAGGATCCCCCAGGTGGCTGTCACTGGTGCTGTGCTGATAGCGGCTGCCTCACAGCCCCTAGATTCTAATTCCATTTCTGCTATTCAGTCGCCATTAGTGTGATTCTGCAGCTTCCTTGTGAAAACTCTAGCGAAGCCTTCGTATCAGTGGCTGCATTGTGCTTTGTGGTCACTCCATTTCCCTGTCCTTCCCTCAGAAGGCACAAAAGGGCAATACCAGCAGACTTTCCCTATTCTCTTTCCTGGTCAGCTAGGGTGGGGGTTGGTCACCCCACTCCACCCCCCAAGCATCCTGCTTCTCCCCAGGTGAGCTATTTGTGAAAGAGTTCTTCTGGATGTTGAAGATACAGAAAGATATCTATGCACGACACATGGCTCGGTTCCAAAAAGAGGGTAAGGGGAGATGAGAGTCCCTAACCCCAGACCCCTCTTTTCAGCTGTCTGACATCTGATTTGTTGGTCAGATGGCCCCCAGTTCCTTGTTGCAGTGCCTGGTCTGGTTCCTCCATCTCTTCCACCCCTCCTTCCTCAGACCCACAGACATCCAGATCCTTCTCCTCTCAGACCCCAGAACCTCTTTTGTCTGCCCGCTGCCCTCCCCAAACCCCCACTTCTTTTGCCTCCTTTGTCTTAGAGATCTGATGCTCAGATTCTTATTTCTTTCTCCCGAGGCAGTTTTTTGTCCCAACAAATGTGGTGAGTCGGGATTTCGGAAGCTGGCCTTCGGTCCCTCATTCCTCTCCCACGGATGTCCCGTCTTTCTTCTCCCCCATTGGGGTCTCGGTATCTTCATTCTCGGCGTCTGAGGAACTCCTCGACTCCAAATGTCCTTCCTCACCTGACTTACTGGGGAGCGGGTAACCTTTCCCAAGGCTGGGAGACCGAGCCCCCCACCCCCCCGCAGGGCTGCGCTCTAACCACGCCCCCATATCTACCCCGCCCCTGGCCACGCCCCACCCCGGGCCCCGCCCTCTGCCGGTCGCCTCTTCTCTTCAGGGGCGAATACACAGGCTGGACCCTGCCCCTTCAGGTACCATGCTGCAGACTCTGATCTGGTGTCAGACCTGCGAGAAGCAGGTTCATTCTTGTCACAAGTCCGTCTTCTGCGGGGGTGAGAGAGAGGGCTGGGCGCCAGGGGGCGGAACCAGACGGAGACAGTAGTGAGGAAAAGGCGGGTGGGGGGCAGTGCTGGAGGGACGTGGTGCTAGAGGAGTGGGAGCGGGGACTGGGGGTGGGGGAGGAGGGAGAATTAGGAAGCCGAGGGAGGACTCCTGCAAGGCCCGGGAAGAAGCGTCTCAGTTATTCCCCATCCCCAGAACGCCTCGTCAAGGTCCATCGTTTGGAAGACCTGGTCCTCAATTGCGAGCTCAGCTGGCATCAAGCTGCTGAAGGCCTGACCAAGTACAGCTTTTATAGGGTGCGGACCTTCAGCTATTCTAACCCCTGAACTCCAAGTGAAGTAGGCCTGCGTGAGGCCCCTGGCCCCTGTGTGCAGAGACTGCCCCTACAACCCCCCATCACCTACCAGGCAGGGCTGCTACCAACGACCCCCCTTTCTGGGACCTCCTTCCCTGACCACCCTGGACTCCCAGTCTCTCCCTCCTGAGGTCCCTTGATTTTCTCATCCCTGTACTCCCCCACCCCCTGAATTCCCCAGGCCTCTGTCACCCCTTGAGCTTGGGTCTAGGTCTGGAAGAACAATACTGAGAGTTTGGTGTCCGAGGGAAAAGAGCCCACCCTTTCCAAGCCCAGGGTGGGTCCAGAAGATGAAGGGAAATACCGCTGCGTGCTCGGCTCCGTGCAAAAAACCCCAGCCACGATCCTCAGTTTCACTGTCAAAGGTCAGTGCAGGGCAGCGGGGAGAAGTCCGGGATTCCAGATTCTGGGAACTCTGAGGGATCCAACTGGAGATCAGCCCCGGGGCGTGGCTTGTGGGCGTGGCTCTCAGGCCGGGGTGTGGCCACGTGCTCGGGGCGGGGCCTCACGCTCCTGCTTCTGAGCGGAGGGAGAACAGGGAAGTCCCTTCCGGATGTATTTCAGCTTCTCACCACTGGAAGCCTGATTCTCTTAGACCCCCCCCCCCAAGGCAGACTGGGGTGCAGAGAGGGACCTTGGTGCCCTCTCAGGACGGCTCCCTGTCCCCATCAGTGTTGCCCGAAAGACTTGAAGAGGAAACACTGCCAACCAGCGCAGATAACCTCACTGTCGCCCACTTCCACGATGCCACCAAGACCAAACACCCACCTAACAGCACTGACTCCGACGTGGAGTGGACCCAAAAAATCGATGCAAAACTCTCGGAGCCAGAGCCGGCGCGGGAGAAGCTGCGGAGGCAATTGATATTGACGTTGATCTGGGCCTCCGTGGCGCTTATCCTCGGCCTTGCCACCGCGTGAGCCGCCCGCTGAAGAAGGCAGGGCTTGGAGAGAAGGGGCTATCTGCCACTGAAGTGGAGGGGTGTGGGAGCCTCGGCACTCCGCGGCTGGCCTTCCTTGGGGGGTGTGACTTAGAAAAAGGGGGAGGGAGCAGTTCTCACTGAAGTCCAGTTGAATAATTGCTAGATCAAATAGAAGGGAGGCCGGGAAGGGGTGCTGTTCACTCCCTGGCACCTCATCTAGTCCCTTCTTTGCATCCACTCCCTACCCTGCCCCCAGGGTACTTTGCTCTCGCTCTAAGGAGTTGATTGAGAGCATAAAATCCAAATACGGAGATGGAACTACTCAACAGGACAAGGCTCTAATGAAAAATACCCAGGAAGATCTGGAGCAGACACATGGATCAGAGGACGAGGAAAATCAGGCAGAGGCTGAGGACAAGGCCAGGGACACTGACACCGGAAGTGAGAAAACAGACAAAGAGTAAAGGAGGAAAAAAGATGCAGGAATAAAGAGATATCTGATAATGACTGTTACACTGATCCTCATTTGGTTTCTCAGAGAAGTCTAGAGGTGGGGTCTGGCCCGCCCCCCAGGATCTGGAAAGGAGGACCCCACTGACCTCTGTGTAATTCCAGAACCCAGGCAGCGCAGGGCAGGGCCAGGACTCCCCAGGTCTCCACCCCTAGGCCTGCTCCCCGCACAGGACGCCCCCTCCCCGCTCTTCCTGCCCGATTTCCTCTCGCCTTTTCCTGTCCCCCACCCAGTGCTGAGAGCTGGGGCACAGGCACAAGCTGAACTGGAGCAGAGGGGCCAGGAATCAAGCCAGGCCCACGGAGCCAGGCCCCCGGGAGCTGCCGGCACCCCAAGCAGGGTAAGAAGGGAGCCCAGCCCCTTTCACCCTCAAGCCTGGCCACATCACCTCCCAGCACTCCCCGGGGTCTAGGCTCTCATCCTCACCTCCACCCCGAAGGCTGAAGGTCAGAGCCTGAGTCCTAACCCCACCCTCCCCAACCCCCCATTCCCCAGGACTCGGGGTCCTGAGTCCCCTTGGCCCCCAGCTCCACCACTCAGGATTTCAGGACTGGGGGGTCTTCCCCACCCATCCTTAGGGCCATGCTATCTGGTGAGCGGAAGGAGGGCGGGAGCCCCCGCTTCGGGAAGCTTCATCTCCCCGTGGGCCTGTGGATCAATTCTCCCAGGAAGCAGCTGGCCAAGTTGGGGCGGCGCTGGCCCAGCGCTGCCTCTGTCAAGTGAGTAACCATCCACCCTCCCCATCCCCTCCCAGGCTGGGCAGTGACCCCCCATCCCTTTTCTGGGAAGCGCCAGAGACTCCCAGAAACCTTGTCCTGTCTTGAAAGTTCAAAGGAGCTGGCAGGCAGGCAGGCAGGAGGGAACACTGGCCCCAGGAATCCAGTGCCCCGTGGGAGAAATGGCCAGCCGGATGGACACAGGGCTGGAGACAGATGCAGCAGGCCTTGATTCACTTTCCTTCCTCCTCTCCCTGACCACCTCTCTGGATTTCCTTATGCGGGCTTTGCTTTGATAGTTACTTAGGCATGGATGCGTTTGATTTCTGGAACTTATCAGACCACTCTTTCTCTCTTTCTTTGCCTCGGGCCTCTGCCCACTCCTTTATCTTCACTCACCCCACATCTGGGGCCCATGTTCCCTCTTGTTTTCTTCTCTGGGTCTCTCTGGCCCTCTTCCTCGGGGTCTTTGCCCGACCTCCTTCTTATCTCCCTCCCTCCCCCCCACTTTGTCTTTCCTGGATCCCTCTCCGCGGTCTCTGCGCCCCGCGGCCTCCCAGGTCTTCATCTTCCGACACGGGGAGCCGCAGCAGTGAGCCGCTGCCCCCGCCGCCGCCGCACGTGGAGCTGCGGCGAGTGGGCGCGGTCAAGGCGGCCGGGGGAGCGTCGGGAAGCCGGGCCAAGCGCATCTCGCAGCTTTTTCGGGGCTCGGGCACCGGCACCGCGGGGTCCGGCGGCGCGGGGGGCCCAGGGACCCCGGGAGGCGCGCAGCGCTGGGCCAGCGAGAAGAAACTGCCGGAGCTGGCGGCAGGCGTGGCCCCCGAGCCCCCCATAGCCTCCCGCGCCACGGCACCCCCGGGGGTCCTCAAGATCTTCGGGGCCGGCCTGGCGTCGGGTGCCAACTACAAGAGCGTGTTGGCCACGGCGCGCTCCACAGCGCGTGAGCTGGTGGCCGAGGCGCTGGAACGCTACGGGCTGGCCGGCAGCCCCGGAGGCGGCCCGGGAGAGAGCAGCTGCGTGGACGCCTTCGCGCTGTGCGACGCGCTGGGCCGGCCCGCTGCGGGCGGCATGGGCAGCGGCGAGTGGCGGGCGGAGCACCTGCGCGTGCTGGGCGACTTGGAGCGCCCACTGCTGGTGCAGGAGCTGTGGCGGGCGCGGCCTGGCTGGGCGCGGCGTTTCGAGCTGCGCGGCCGCGAGGAGGCGCGGCGCCTGGAGCAGGAAGCCTTTGGGGCGGCGGACAGCGATGGTGAGTAAAGTCCCGGGCATCTGGCGGATGGGGGAACCGGGCAGTAAAGGGGCGTGGCCAGATGGAGGGCGTGGCCTGGCTTGAGGGTGGGCCAATAAGACGAACACCGCGGGCGGGGCCGGTGGGGGCGTGGCTGCAGCGTGTGGGTGGGGTCAATGAGACGAACACCCGTGGGGCGGGGCCCGTGGATGGACGAGGCATGGGCGTGACTAGGGCTTGGGCGGAGTTAGTGAAGGACAGGCTGATGCTTGGGCGGGGCCAATGGGAGGGAAGGAATTGGGGTGAGACGAGGGCCGAGGCAGGCCATTGGGGTGAGCGGGCTAAAGAGGAGACTGGTCAGGACCACCTGGACACATGGGAGAAGCTCGATGGCGCGGGCGGTGTCTGTGATGTTGGGGCGGGACTTGAGGAAAAGTAAACCCTACTGGAAGAGTTGGCTAGTCTGAGGCTTGATGGAGGAGCGGGCGGGTACCTGTGGTTTGAGCTTTGAAAGGAATGATCCGTGGGAACAAGGTCATGGATTGCTAGACCAGAGTTTAAGAATGGGCGGAGCCTCATTAAGGGGACTGTGAAGCGGGATAGGGGCTTGAGGGTGGCGCCTGGAATCAAAGTCCAGGCTACCAGAGTTCTTTACCGGCGATGTTCAGGGGTTACACCTGGTTCTGCACTCAGGAATTACTCCTGGTGGTCCTCGGGGGACCATATGGGATGCCAGCGATTGAACCCTGGGTCATCCTCGTGCAGAGCAAACGCACTCCCTGCTGTACTATCGCCCTAGCCCCCTTACCAGGGGTCTTTGGGAAGCTCTCCATCCTCCCCAACGCTTCAGAACAGCAGCTGATTCTAATGGCGAAATAGGAGTGGGACAAGCTTAGCAGAGGATGGACTGGAGAGGGGAGCCCCTGAATCATTGAGGACAAAGGATGCCTTAGGGCCTCCAGCTGATTTTCTATGACCGAGTCTTGTGGGCTCTGAACTCAGGCTTGGGTTCTGATCCTCCTATGTGAAGATTCAGTAAAATGATTTACATATAGGGGGTTAGCACAGGACTCAGCATTGATATGTAACGATTAAAAAAACTGCAATTATAAGTTATTGTTGGGGGCCGGAGTGATAGTACAGCGGGTAGGGCATTTGTCTTGCACGTGGCTGACGGCTGATTCAGTTTTGATCCCTGGCATCCCATATGGTCCCCCAAGCACCGCCAGGAGTAACTCCTGAGTGCAGAGACAGGAGTAACCCCTGAGCATCGCCGGATGTGACTCCCCCAAAAAAGAAAAAAAGTAATTGTTGGATGCATTTTTTTTTCTCTTCAAGAAAAGCATTCATTTGGGTGCCAACTTTGGGTATCATATTATGTAGGACTCTGGGGGGGGTGTACAGCGAGGACATTGGAAATAAAGTTCCCTTCTTCCTGGATTTCACAGCCGAGTTCATTCATCCAACTCATTAGGCACACACTACTACATCCCAGGGCTTTGCTGGGTCCAGGCAAGGCCAGGGTGCCCATAATGGTGGAATGAAGGTGGAGGTGGTTTCTGTTTGCCTGAGGGCAGGTTCTTCTCTGTAGACTGAAAAAAACGCTAGAACATCTCCCAATACATACCATGCTTCAAATAATAGCTCAAAGAATAAATGAGTTTCTTGGGGCCAGAGTGATTTAGTACAGTATAGTATGCTTGCCTTGCACATGGCCAACTAGGATTCAGTCCCCAGCACTACATATAGTCCGACGAGCCGGCCAGGAGTGATCCCTGAACAGGAGTGACCCCTGAACGCAGAGCCAGGAGTAAGCCCTGAGCACACCTACGGGTGTGGCTCAAAAATAGAAATAAATAAATAAATAAGTAATCAGTCTCTCCAATCAGCCAGGCTTCTCGCCGCTTTCTTTCCCCATAGGCACGGGCGCCCCCTCGTGGCGGCCACAGAAGAATCGCTCCCGGGCGGCGTCTGGTGGGGCTGCACTGGCCAGTCCTGGCCAGGGGTCGGGATCCGGGGCCCCCGCCGGATCTGGAGGCAAGGAGCGCTCGGAAAATTTGTCCCTGAGGCGTAGCGTCTCGGAGCTCAGCTTGCAGGGCCGGAGACGGCGACAGCAGGAGCGCAGACAGCAGGCTCTTAGCATGGCCCCTGGGGCAGCCGACGCTCAGATAGTCCCGGTGGACCCCAACGATTTTGACCAGCTGACCCAGTGCCTCATCCAGGCGCCCAACAACCGCCCATACTTCCTGCTGCTTCAGGGTTACCAGGATGCCCAGGTAAGTGGAGGCGCTGTGCCCTTCCACGGGTGGAGAGTATGGAAATATTCTCCCAGAATCCTGAAGGTGAACGTGAGAAAGGGCTTAGAGAGATAGTCCACGGCTGGCTGG